CAGTACAGTACAGTACAGTACAGTACAGTACAGTACAGTACAGTACAGTACAGTACAGTACAGTACAGTACAGTACAGTACAGTGCAGTACAGTACAGTACAGGGCAACAACTTAAATTCTCAGTTTGAAAACCCAAGATATCTCCATAATTATTAAGATACAAATGGTACGTCATTATTGTAAGTCATATAATTTTTTAAGTAAAAATTTATTAATTGATGTTTGCAATGTGTCATACTTCAAATTACTATTTATTTGTGCTGTAAGGAATAAGGAATTATATAAATATGCAAGGTAACCCATAATAAATGAAACTTTAGAGATGACTGTACGAAATTTACAAGGTATACCTTCAAGTTGTAAAGAGTTTTAGGTTGTCAATAATGTCTTATTCTTTGTGGGTAACCCTGTATATATAAACATCACCTTCTTCGGTAAAAGACTTCTCTCTTCTCTTGCACTATATATCAGGCATATTTTTAAATTAGAATTATAGTAATTATAGTTTACAGGGAAAATGATGAAAACCTGGCCCATCAGATTCTTTTTCCCTTATGAAAATTTCTTTTGTAATATTTATATTGTCTAAACAATATGAAATCTTCATTTAATAAATATTTGATTTTCATTTGATTTTAATTATTATTTTAAAAAGGTAATATATTTCAACCTCCCCCTCCCCCCCCCCTTCCGGCCTGCAAAGCCACAATAAAAGCCCCCTGAAAGCAGTTTTAATTAACATCTGATTAAATTTAAAAAGCACTGTTCCTGTTCAAACTTTCCTCTTCCTAAAGAAAAGAAAATATTTTAATTTATTTTATTATCGTAAAACAGTATTTTTTCGAATCTTTTTTTAATTACTTAAAAAATAAACTAAGTAATTCATTGTTTACCTTAATATTTCTATGGCTTGATTTAGTATGTATACAGAAGATGCCACCTTCAAATCAAAATCAAGTTAAGTAAAATAATGTTTTTAAAGAAAATTTCGTTGCAACTGTTTAAATCAATTTTTTTTGTAACATTCACAAAGATATATTTCAAAAATTATTACTTTAGCTATATTATACAGTATTATACAGGTTTTTCAAATAATGCAACAACTAGAAGTTTAAAAAATCATAATTTTAATTATTACTATATCATTTCAAACAATATAAAAATATAAATGATAAATTTTGCACATCATTTTCATTTAAAATTTTAAAATTTTCAATATATAAATGAAAATTGGAATGAAGAAAACAGCTTGATTGTTATAATTAGTGCACACTAGTTACATCGAAGTGCTCTGCCTGAAAAAAATCATATTTATATAATTAACGCATATAGTAAATACGTCCAGAAAACTTTTATTTATTCCTCGAAAGAAAAGTTTTTAAATCCTCATAAAAAGGAAAACAGAAAAGTTAAAAGGTTCAGAAAAGCTGGCTGACTTTCTTAGTTGTGAAATGCAATTAACTAGTTGTACATTTTAAATTAAAAGATATTTTTTTATGTAATTTATTTTGATATTATCCTAGGACGATGAATGAAAGAAACCTGTGGCAGTATCCCATATTTGAAGAAGATTTATAAATAATATAACCAACTTTGTACCATATGTTAACACAAACTGAATATAAATCTATTGCAGATTAAAGGGATTGCTCTCAATTTATGATTCATTTAATGTTTTAAGGGATAGATAAAAATGTTTGTTTTATTAACAGAATTATGAAGTTCTTTATTTTTTAAACAATTTAAATAATGCTTTTTCTTAAAATTTGTTAAAACATAAAAATGTGAATATTCCCTTTTCATAAACTTTAATAAACAAACATTCTTGAGATGTTTTATACACTCCAACAAGAATTCAAGAGCAATATTTGTTTAAAGAGAGTTTTTGATATTTGAAGTGGGATTCCTTTTTTTAATACATACTCAACAGATCACTTTCCCAGGCGGGAGAAAAGGATGAGGGGGACGCACACGCAGTGGGGAATCCTGGGGGAGGGGGTGGGATTGAGTTTATTTAACAAGCCACTTATATTTACGTGAAAAAAGTCTGGAATTAATCCGGAATATGCGTCCTTTATTTTCAGTTTTCACCATGGCACACCTAGTCCTTTGTTATTAGATGAGGTAAATTTATTCTTAATTCTGACATTTTCTGCTGTGTTCCCCTCTTTATCATTTAGAGAACACTGTATGGAATCTTACTAGCCCTTTTCTTAAATTGATGGTTCCGTAGCTTTAACCTGTGTTCATTTTTTCCAAAATCATTTAGCCCATTTTAAAAGAGCATATTAAATATCAGAATCAAAAATTAACCTTCAGATCTACGGAGCGTCCAATCATAAATTATATTATCTTCAATCTTTAACGCCAAAATAAACCTTTAATACTCGAAAAACTTTTAGTATAATTTTAGTATAAGCATTATTTTTATTTTAATCATTCATTCTTATTAAATTTTCTGATTTCTGTGTCTCCCTTGCATGAAGTGGACTCCTGCATGGGTTAGAAATAAAACAGTAAAAAAGTTTAAAAATTAAAAATTATTGGTTGACATATTTTAAATATGCATTTAGATGTATTTTAATGGGGGTAAAGGCATAAAAAATGATTTGCTCTTAAATGTCGTTTTCCTTTCAAATCATCAAACAATTAATATTTATCGAGACATACAGGTCACAGGATGTTCCAATAAACATGGGAATTCAGAGACAACATGAATATCGTCTTTGATTTCCGACAATTGATAATTGACATAAATTCTAATGAGCTTTCCAAAGTGTGGTCTACTTTCTTTGTATCTTTAAAATTGACGGAGATATTAACATTTGAACAGATATGTTGATTTTTAATAAACTAGAATTTTGACAAATTTCCCAATTTCCTTGTCAATTTTGAAGGTAAAATAATATTGTAGGCCACATTTTAGAAATCCCAAGAAGCTATATTGCAGTTTTCGACGTTAAATGTTTTAATTGTGATACTTCAAAATTATTTTACGAAATAATCCCACATGCATGTATATCGACGATATAGCTAGAAGTCGTCCTTTAATTGGGACACCCTATACTTTTTCAAATCAAAATTCAAATGCAAATGAAACTGTGCAAGAGTGTGCCGAGGGGAGGACAACAATTTATAGTCCGAGCCACCTCGAAATCCTTAAGAATCGGGTCACGTTAAAGCATAAACGAAATGTTAAATTTTGTTAATCGAAAAAATACTTTCAATAGATTAAAGATTTTGAGTGCAAGGTCCTAAAAAATATTCACCTTTTTACGCATATTGGTGCCGTATATTCCGACCTAGATGATTCTAACCTAAAGGTTTTCTGACCTAAATATATATCCAATCTTTAGGTCAGTTTGGGACATTTGGCTAATCGAACCTACAGATTTTTAGGTCGGAAAAACATTAGGTCAGAAAAACGTTAGGAATTGGAAACTCAATATAGGTTCGTTTCCTCTAGATTCGATGAGCAGCGTTACATCCAGACCGGGTGTTATATTTGGTCCGGGTGAGTGTTACATGTGAAATCCATGTACAAAATTGATAGGAGGGGGAAGGGGGCAACAAAAAATTGTAACAATTTCAAAAACAATGATAATGTGCATGCTTTGGGTCCGTTAAAGTAAACATTTGGACCCCCCCTGGCCCCCCTTCCCCCTCCTATCAATTTTGTACATGGATTTCACATGTAACACTCACCCGGACCAAATATAACGCCCGGGCCTTATTTAACGTGACAGGATTTTCAGATAATGTAGAGGTATTATATGGCGTGGGGTGAAGGGAGCAGGAGGGGGGGAGAGATAAAACTCCTAAGAATGCGCGAATACCGGATAACATTTTCTTAATTCTCTCTCTCTATGACAGCTTGCTCTGACAGCTTGCTTCTATAGTAATGTTAAGGATGAATACGAATGTTATGAATTTGATATTTTTGATACGAATGTTGGGTTTGATTGTTTATCTGATCTTGATACTTGGATATGAATGTCATGATAGGCTTGC